GACAAAAGTATCCTCTGGAACAACAATTTCCACTAAGAGACAAAGGTAATTTTCCTACTTTAATATGTATCATGACATTTCCTATAAGGCTGCTGAAAATTAAACAGGGTAAAAAGTTAAAGGTTTCAAACTATGAAACACCCAAATATATTCAAAATGTTGAATGCTGAGCAGTTTTGGCAAAGTGCCCAGAAGAATAATTTATATTATCCTGGCTATGTAAGCAGGTAGAGGGTGTTACTGATTAAAATCTATCTGTAAATAGAACTCCTAAATATTCTACAGAAAATGATCCAGGTTTTCACCCAAGCAGTTCCAAACTTCATGGGAACATTTTAAATCATCAGTTTGTCCATTCCAGCTTAACTTGAAGAAAGTCGTTAATATAGAGGTCAATACAGACTGGAAACTGACAAAAAGTTATCATGGTGTAGATCTAGGCTGATGGTTGCTCACATAAATAATAGTGAAATTATTCCTGGAATACATAATTCCTCAGAAATTCCTTATTTTCCCAACATCCATTGACCACTATGCAACTCCATAACATCACATACATGTTCCCTTGATCAAGAACAACTTGGAGATGGTGTAGGAACAAGGTCATGTGCTCTGTGGACAACTTGGTGATTCCCTAATAAGGGATGTTATTACACAGGTGGATGTTGTGATAGCAGCATCCACTTTGGCCTGAGGTCTTCCTCTAATGATACTGAATCCATAGAAATCATTGTGTGTTATGCTGCATGGTGGAAGGATACCCTAGTTTCTTTCCTTGCTTTAAATATTCAAGAGTGGGTGTATAGTGTCTGTGCCAGAATGACATGACACCATTAAATGGAGAACTCTAACTGGTGTCCTAGGGACAGAGAGTTCCTGTAGAGACAGAAAAGAAAGTTCCTTATAGTTTGAAAGAGCATGGACATCCTTCTTATAAATGGCTGCCTCCAGCTCTGTACAAGGCTCTCAATGACATAGCAATCCTTTGCTGATATGGAAAGCATCTTAAGCAATGTATATCCATCTCATAATGCCTTCTCAGAACAAATTAGACTCATTCTTCATCACTCTTGCCTCTAGTAAGATCACCTCTTGAAAGTACATTGATGTAAGTTTTATCCTTGTTTGAAAAGAAAATTGAGTTCATGAAAATCTATGTTAATGTGTGTTGGTTGTTTAGTACATGATATTCATTCAGTGATTTTTATTCAGTGACAAATTATTAAGCACAAAGTCTGTACTAAACACAGTTTCAGCTTTCTGAGACCATATTTATCATACCTGCTCCATAAACTCCATTTATGTTTGATAGTGCATTCCAGACCATAGAAAATAGTGCCTCTCTCTTTTTCCTCAATTAACATTACTAAGCTAGTCAGTTGCCTGTAGGATTTTGAAACATATGATGTTTTATTTGAAACAAATTATTTTTATTCAAAAAATATTTTCTTGTTAAATGTTCTTGTTAGTATAATTGTGCCTGAGTTTTCAAAATTAGTGCCAGTATACCATGTCATTGAACTTATTTAAAATCCATGAGCTAACATTGATGCAGATAAACAGAAATATTTTTAAAATAAATGACATATACTCAACATTATCCAGGAAATTAAAAACATCCTAATCTGAGTTAGGAATTTAGCCCAAACAGGACACATACAATGAGAAATGTAAAAATGAGGTATGACAAGCATGTCCTTGAAGGAAAATCCAAAAAATATGGAGAAGTGTTAAACATGAGAGAAACAGATACAGACATCAGGTATGGAAACAAGATCAGGTCTTCAGAGAAATAAAATAAATGAAATGCAAAAAAAAATGGTACATGCAAAATGTGATAGTAAGGGTGAATGTGACACTGAGAATTAAGACAAGGTTTAGGAGGATGAGCATACATGACAGGAAAATTCAAGCATCTGTAATAGCAATGGAAGTAAATTTACAAAATTAGTAATTGTTTTTTAGTGTAGTACGTTTAAATGTTTAAAAAGTCAACAAATGATCAAAACACTAGAATCAAGTTAACCCATAAATTCATGTGAGAATAACCATGGTTTATATTATAGTAAGGAGATTGTGTCTGGGCAATGGGCCTTGATAGTAGAGGACATTCTTTGATTTGCAGATGTCTCTTGAATTGGTGGGTTCCAGAAAAGTCTTATGCTCCTTAGATGATTGGTTCTTGGTTCCTCTTTATTGTGTATGTATTTGATTTGTTTTGACTATTGTTTAACATCTTTGTTAGATTTGAGTGTTCACTGTTTTTTGACTTACTTTTATTGTGTTCACATCTGATTTGCTTTCTTAAAATAATTTCATGCACCTTGTGTGGTTTTGGATCATACAAGCAGTGTGCTACTTGTATTCAGCATGGTAGGGCTTTGTGACTGGAGTGGCCCTGCTACCCACTATAAAAACTGAAAATTTGGCTTTGTTAAGTAGTGGCTTCTATATTCTCCTGACTAGATCTACCATACAACATCATGCCATTAAATTCAGGATCTTCAACACTGCTTTGTTGACTTGTTTTGTGTGTCTTTGTGTCAGTATGTGTCTCTGCATTCCAGTCCTTGGGTCTAAACTCAGGGCCTGAGCACTGTCCCCAAGCTTTTTAAATCAAGGCTAGTACCCTACCACAGATCCACCTCAAGGTTTATGGTAGTAAATTGGAGATGAAATCTCACAGACTCTGATGCCCAGACTAGCATCAAACCTTAATACCAAGATCCTCAGATTTCGGTCACAGAAATAACTAGGATTACTAGTGTGAGCCACAGGCACTTAGCTCTTGTTGAAGACTTTTAAAGCTTGATAGGCCATATTTGTGAAGTTGAAAAGTCACTACCACTTAATATGGAAAAAAAGGGTTAAATGGAAGAAGTAGAGGCAGAAGCATGCTAAAGTGATAACTGCAAGGATTTAAACATGATACGATGGAGAATCTAAGCCTGGAATTTGCAACAGAGTTAAAATGTGCAGGTAAGACATTTCAAAGAGAAAATATTGATGACAATTATTTTGATGGGTTTAAAATCAAAGTAGGAGAAAATATGAAACCAATGACTATCTTTGAGTACTAGGAAAAAAAACAGCATTTGATGAGGTGATTCAAAAATAGATGGTGGCTGAGAATAAGCAGGTTGGACAAGCATGTAGCTGGAAAAGTAAAGTGGATTGTGTGAAGGAAAAAGCTAATAGTTATGAAGGCATAGGTAAGTTCAGACTCCAATTTCATTTAAAACATACAATTAGGAATTTTCAAATAGATAATGTAGTCTTATTTAGTATCATCTTTATTCTGTATAGTAGATCACTTATGATTTTTGCTTCCTGTTTAATTGAAACTATTTACACTTTAGCAAATGAAACATTCTCAACCTATTTCCTTCTAAATGTTTTTAGAAAAAAGACAAGTATACAAAATAATAATTTTAGGGATATTGAATCATTCTACAATGTAAACACAAAAGATTGTAATGCATAAAATAAACATGTAATATGTACAAACATTATAAATTGAATTTTAAGATTCTTAATATTTTTATTTTTTTTCTTGTTCAGAAGTATCTGAGATTATTCTTTAAATTCACATTGGTGAAATTTTTAATTAAGAAATACAAAAGTATATGTACATAAGAATGAAGTTTATATGTGAAAAAATCTAGCTTTTTTACATGACTCAAAGAGAAATTTACTCATTTTGTGTCACTTAAACATTGAAGTATCTGTGATCTATCATTTATTCAATGGAGAAAATACTGTAGTCCTACAAGTACTATCACAAAATCATATAAAATAATCTATGTATTTAAAATTATGTCTTTATATTTTGCTCAATTCTGGGGTTGAACTCAGGGCCCAGCACTTGCTCTGCTCTGGCTTATTCGTGAGTATTGCTCTACCACTTGGACCACACGTCCAGCCTGACTTTCTGTTGACTAATTGGTGATGGAGTCTTGTTTACTTCTCTTCCTGAGGTAGCTTTGAAATTTAGTCTTTCAGATCTCAGCCTCTACTGGGGTCTGTTGTAAGGTATCTTATCAGTAAAGCCACATTTTGGAAGATGGAATACTGGAGTCTTTATTACAACACGAGCAGTCAGCAGGCCTCCCATTGTAATAAAGATCTGCAGCTCCCACATAAAACGGTTCAGAAACAGGCCAGAGAGGAAAGAAAGATTAAAAAAAAAAAAAAAAACTATACCAACAAACCAATTCGGCTTCGACGAGAGCTGAATTAGGATGCCATGACCACCGGAGATGCGCCAGGAGACAGGTCACAATCACGGGGACACACATGGCATGGCAGCTTGGTGCCTGTGCTGGTCTGGGCCTAAATAAGGTCTGAGCAGGAGGCAGGTCTACAGGAAATTCGCAGTCCCAGGTGCTGGACTGACAGGTTCAGTAACCTATCAGCCAAGTGCCCCCCCCTGCCTCCAGGAATCCAGGCAAGTCCATCACCTGGGAGGTCAGGCCTTTCTTCCAGCATGAAGACAAAATGCCAGACCCCACTATCCACCCTGTGGCCCATATTGCCCTGCCCAGACCTGATCTCCTTACTTTAGTATGAGCCACATTTGCCCCATGTTAAAATTCTCTCTTGACGGGTTTTCTTTTATAACGATCTTGTACTTTTATTGTTACAATAGCAATGCTATTTTTAAATTTAATTACTTATAAACACAAATTTTAGATTATCTAATTTTGTTTATGATGCAATTGAGTTTGAAATCTTGGTAATTATCCTATTTATAATTATCCTTGAAGCAGCGCGTTTTCAGTGTTAAATTTCCCTCGGTTTTAAATCTGCCCACTTGTAGCAACTAAATGCATTTGTTTAAAATAACAAAAACACAGATAGGTTAGTTTTCCTCATTTGAATGTTAAGTTGCCTAGTAAGATCATCACTGAAGTAATGTCTGGAGAACAATTTATAAGAACCAAAATTGTTTACTATAAAGATAATGCACATATTTACTCTCCCTTTCTTCCTCTTTGAAGCTTCACACGGACCAAGATAAAGGAGACGGAAATTTAAAATACATATTAACTGGAGATGGGGCTGGCAGTCTCTTTGTTATAGATGAAAATACAGGAGACATTCATGCTGCAAAGAAGCTAGACAGAGAAGAAAAAGCCTTGTATATTCTCCGGGCCAAGGCCATCGACAGAAAGACAGGGCGGCAGGTGGAGCCGGAATCGGAATTTATCATCAAAATCCATGATATCAATGACAATGAACCGAAATTCACAAAAGACTTGTACACTGCCAGTGTCCCTGAGATGTCTGGCGTTGGTAGGTATATGCTAACCCACCAGTGCTAGCGTTGGTGTTTGTTTTATAAGGTACTTACGACGGGTAATTATGATATGTAAATTCCTTCAAGATAGGAGTTATATCTGGAAACTGCTACTTTCTTGTTTGTTTGTTTTTTCTGTTTGTTTGTTTTGTCACCACCCACAGCCTGGGTGCTGTCCCTGGGCCCTTTTTGCTGAAGGTCAGGGCTCTACTACTTGGATCCCCACTTGTGGTAGACGATTGGAGGTAAGAGTCTCACAGCCTTTCTTACCCTGGCGAGCTTTGAACCTCGCTCCTCAGATCTTGGCCTCCAGATTAGGATTAGCTAGGAATATAGACATGAACCCTCAGTGCCCTGCCCCATGTAATTTTATCTAGCTTCATGTCTACTTTTATGTTGCAAATTATTATCGAGTACAGTTCTTTGGTCACACTAGAATTATCACCATCACCTCTAGACTTCTGAGTAGAAGTGGAAGGTGGTGTTCCTCCAGACTTCCCCATAGAGGTTGAAGGCATTGTTTCTGGAAGTAAGGGAACCTACTGGTTGCAGCCTAAGACACTGGTGCTTGTGTTCTGTTGACTAATAACAGCTAACCTTTGCCTTTGATGGAAATTCTTCTGAATGATTATGTTATATGATCAATAAAACAACCCTATGCAGTAGGCTTGGAAAATACAACATTCAATCTCCCCATCCTGTGGTTTTGCAAGCTATGATTCAGAGATACATAACAGAATAACTTTGATCAAATACCCTAGTGACACGATTACATATTTCTTCAATCTATTTCTGTCTCGAACCATTGAAAACTGTTGAACGATACAAATTGAAAATAGTTTAGTATTTAAGACTGTCTTTTTTTAATGGTATATGTCATCATATTTGATTGCATTCATGTGAAGAGTTTGTGAATGAAATAAGAGCTGATACTTAAATCATAAAATATTTCTCGAAATCATAATAAAATTATAATACGTAAAATGTAAGCATTTTTTCTGATTTTAACATAATTCAGTAGAATAACACTTATAAATCAGTTTCAAGTCATATACATGAACAATGATACATATACAATTTTATTCTCCTTAACCATTTCCTATTGAACTCTAGTTTGAAGTACTTTTTTTCTGGCGAATTGCATTATCTGTGGCAAAACAATCATTTTGCTTGTGTATAATTTTGCCAGCTATTTTCCTGTATGAACAGACAATTGTACTTTTTAATTCTTAGAAAAACTTGACATATTTGGAACTGTAAAAATCAAAATTAAGATGACAGCAATCTTTCCCTGATGGATTTAAATTCATTTTAAGAGTTATTTCCTTCAAGATATTAAAAGTATTTCCTCATTAGAAATCATTGATGTTTAAATTTCTTGTTAGTATTTTTCTCCTGTATCATTCTGTATCATTTAGTAAATTTTAATCACTTACACTATGCATTTTGATTATGTGATTGCTTGATTCATATTGAATACTAGATGGATCTATTCTATATCACCACACAACCATGTCAATTCTGAAATGTTATTTGTAAAAAAAAAAATAGCTTTCACAGATCCATCTTCTCAAACTATATTAAAATTATTCAAGTTTAGGCATGAAATTAAATTTGTAGATTACCATGTCCAATAATACTTTCTGGAAAAGGAGCTATGTGGCACTTACATATGCTTTTATCTTTGAGCACTGCACCTTTTGATTAGTGTAGTCTTTGAACATAAGAAATGGAGCCTTTATCAGTCAAATCCTATCCAGGTCTAGGATTCCTATAAAATTCCTATAAAATTCCTGATAAAATCACATAGTATGACACTGGATACTAATTTGGTAAAAGTAAATAAAATCTTAAGAATATGAACAACAACCACAAAACATAAATTCATCCTGGTTAAAAAGCAGTTTAATTATTCTTTATGATATCTCCCCTAGCTTCTTTCATTGAGTTTATGTATACACATATTATATGCTTACAGTTTAAATTTTAAATCACCATATCACTGTCTATAATAAGCATATGCAGATGACAACATACTTAGTTTAATAAAAATTCATATAAAGAAATTAAATACATTTGCCCCAAACTAGAATGAATTGGCTATTAACTTACATTGCAATAGAAAAATAAATAGACAGACAGATATGTATGTAAATACATAGATAAATCGACAAATAAAAGTCAATAGATGTACAGGTATCTGGACATCCTTAATGCCTATTTTCCACTAGTGGTTATAAAAAAAATCCTATTTTATTAACTTCTAAAGAATGTCTCTCAAAATAACATTGCTTTATACTATTAAACTTTCATTAAAGTTAAATTCAAATGAAGGGAAAAATCCTTGTATTTCTCCATGTAGTATAGGTATATTACACACACACACACACACACACACACACACACACACACACACATCTATGTAAAAGTTAGATGTATTTTTGAGCCTATCATTATATGGATCTTTGGTTCTAATTCAGATACATTACTTTTTTCAAATTTTTTATTGTGATTAAGTGGTTACATAATTTCCCAAATTTATTGTGAGATAGTGATGCTCAGTTAAAGTCACAAACACGTTCTAACTTTCCTGGAGCAAATTGACTATCACGGTCTGTAACATTTATGAGTTCTATGAGCTTTGCGATACAGTTATTTCTTCCACATTGGGTGGTATGTACATTTGTTTTGCATAGCATCAGCTGTTCCCTCTTTCCCACTTGTTCCTTCCCTCCCATCACTGCCATTAAATTACTTAGTTCATTTTGGTCATTGTCCAGTACAGCTGTTATGTCCCACTGTTATGTTTTTCCCTGATTCCTTCTAGTTCTGTGTCATCTTCCTGGTTTCCCTCTGGTGTACACATATACACCATACATGTAATCAGCAACATGGGTTTATTTAGTAGTGGTTCGACCAGATGAGTGGAAGTCCTTTGTTTCTTAAGTCCTGTTAATTTTGTCGTATCACCTAACATTTTGGAGTTAACATCCACTTATCAGGAAGACCATGTACTGTTTGTCTCTTTGCTCTTGGCTTACCATGCTCAACATGATTTCTTCTAGCTCCGTCCATTTCCCTGCACATGCCATTATTTTTATCATTTCTAATGGCTGCATAATATTCCATTGTTAGATAACACAATTTTTGGATCCATTCATCTGTGGTGGGACCTCTGGGTTGTTTCCATATCCTAGCTATTGTGAACAGTGCTGCAATAAACATGAAGGTGCACGTGTCCTTGTATACTGGTTCTTGTTGTTCAGGATAGATGTCTAGAAGTGGTATAACTGGGTCATGAGGGAGGTCAATATTTAGCTTTCTGAGGACCCTCCAGACTGCTTTACAAAGTGGTTGTATAAGTGTACATTCCCACCAGCAGTGTAATATGGTTCCTCTTTCTCTGCATCCCCTCCAGCATTTGTCTGGGCTGACTTGTGGATGTGGGCCATTTTGACTGGGGTAAGGTGGTATCTCAGGGTTGTCTTTATTTGCATTTCCTTCACAACCAGGGATGGTGAACATTTCCTCATGTGTTTCTTTGCCATTTTTATCTCTTCATCTGAGAAGTCTCTCTTTAGTTCCCTTGCCCATTTAGTAGTTGGTTTGTTAGGTTTGGGAGGGATTAGTTTCTTGAGTTCCCTGTATATACTGGATGTTTTCCCCTTGTCTGATATATTGCTGGTAAATATTTGGTAAAGACAACCAATTGGTTGGTTGTCTTTCTAGTTTGCTTGCGATAGCTTTAGCTGTGCAGAAGCTTTTTATTTTAAGGTAGTCCCATTTGTCGAGTGTCTCTCCAATTCGTTGTGACCCTGGGACTCTGTTCAGGAATTTCCTTCTTGTGCCCATAAGTTCAAGTGTCTCTCCTACTGTGTCCTGCAGTAGTTTCAGAGATTCAGGTTTAATGTTAAGGTCTTTATTCCATTTTGAGTTGATGTTGGTGCATGGTGATAGGCTGGGGTCCACTTTTAGTCTTGTGCACATGGCCGCCCAGTTTTCCCAGCACCAGTGGTTGAAGAGGCTGTTTCTTCCATTGTATGTCTTTGGCTCCTTTGTCAAATTCATATACATTATTTAGAAGGAAAAAAGATTATGTCTTCATAATTACTGCAAGTGTAATTTCCTTAGGTTTTAGTTGTATAGTAATTCATTTTTCAGTGTAAAACTAAGATAGATCCATTTTTTGAAATTTTGGCAGCTATATATTATTGATTTAACTTCATTTATTATCAAATAATAAAAGAGTATATCCATGTGTTCCTTATGAATATTGAAAATAATGCATACCAAATAAAATCTAATATTTTATTACATAAATATTTTCATTTAAATCAATGAGTTAATACATAAGTAGTATTAATTTCTTATGGAAATAAAGTCTAAAGCAGTAAATGGGAATGTAAGACAAATCCTTCAATCTATCTTTTCACTTATTTTTATTTATCTATTATATATAGTTATTGTTATTGTAAAGGTGATATACAGAGGGAATAGCATTATATAAGTCAGGTGTGAGTACATGATTTTTTTGAACAATTTCACTTTTTCTCTCCTTCTCCCCTCCCTTCCCCACCCACAAGTTGTATAGTTCATTTTCAACACAGTGTCCACTGTGTACCACTGCTGTTTTTATTCACCCTTTGTCCTTCCCTTTGTGCCCCCTCTTAACCTCCCAGAAACAGATAAATTTTCAATTTTGTATCGTAAGGTTGTTACTACTTATTTTTATTCCTCACCTGATGTTGTCCTTGTTTTCCCTTCTCTGGGCTTTCAAAATCAGATTCATATTAAATTTAGCTCTCAGAATCATATTCCATCCCTTTAAAATCAAATTCATTATTTTTTCCAATGAAATAATGAAATCTAAACTACACTATGGTCTTCTTATTAGAACACGTTAGTAGGATGATGAAGATACACAGTGATTTAAAATGGGATATTATTTGATTAAAATATTAGTGGAAAAGTACACACACAAACATATTGTATTTTCTTTTTTTTTTTGGTCCGGTTGTGGGGCCTGAACTCTGGGCCTGGGCGCTGTCCCTTAGCTCTTCAGCTCAAGGCTAGCGCTCTACCACTTGAGCCACAGCACCACTTCCGGCTTTTTTCTTTTTGCTTATGTGGTGCTGAGGAATCGAACCCAGGGCCTCATGCATGCAAGGCAAGCGCTCTACCACTGAGCCATCTTCCCAGCCCACATATTGTATTTTCTATTTCCTATAGTCACAAAACTCTTGGTAAAAGAGTTTTGGTAAAAGATTGTTTCTCTCACCTTTCTGTATATGGGTAAGTTTTTGGGAAGAAAGCTTAGTGGAGGTGGACACATAAGACTATGTTTTATCCCTGAAGTGACATGATGGATAAATTTCATCACAGCTCAGGTAATAGGCTTTCAGTTCTCATTGTATGTGAATTAAGTTTTAGAAAACTGGAGAGACACTTGTAGCATTCAAATACTTTTCAAGGACTTGAACTACTAGCATCACTATAAATGGAAAATATGTTTATTGAAATTTGCATACTTTTGTACACACAAAATTTAATAAATGTGCACTGCAACTCAAGAAATGAACAGTAGAGGAGTGAATAATGTATGTGAGGATACATCTACATGAAAGAGTCAACATGGGATTGACTGTCTCTAAAGAACTTTTAAGTACAAGAGCCATAACAAGGATTTTAAAGAAACTAATGTATAATACATTGAAAATAGTCTATAAGTTCCTCTTGAGATCAGGTAAAATAGTAGATATATGCCTTGAATTTTTATAATGCTGAAATAGAAGATATTCAGATTATATTTCCAATATTTATCATCTAACACTAACTAGAATTCTCTAGACTTTTAAAATAATATTTGTTTAATTTTTGATTTGTTATATTTTTATTATCATCTAGTAACTGTACAAATGAGTTACCAACAGAAAATCAGTTTATGAATATAATTCATCTTGATTGTTTTCACCCCTTTCACCATTTTCTTCCATCCTTCCCAAACTCAATTTTCTAAATTTCATAGGATATGTATTCAGTGTTTTAACTGTTTTTTTCTTTTCTTTGTTCATTCATCTACGCTCCTCCTTTAGACTCTCCCCCTCCTCCCGTACCTTTAAAGTCCCAGTTTCCTGTTATTCATTTTGTTGGACATAGAGTTTGTCTAAGGATTTTCACTGCTTGAAATCTCCCTTGCAAACGTTGCATTTTGGTTAAAACACTTGTGTACACCTGCATACAATCCAATAAATGCATGCTTGTATGTATATAAATTAGTTCTAGCTTCCACATAAGAAAAATAATGTCTGCCCTTTGTCTCTCTAGATCTGGTGACTTTTAACAAAGTTAAAATGTCATTTAAGTGTTCTAATACATGACTGAACATAAAATATTGATTTTTGATATGGTCTGTTGCATATAATTACATTCTTACATTTTGGAAACTACTGATGTTGAAAACTACTGATTTCCAGCCAGTAACTAACACTAAAGTATATAAATGTACATAACCATATCAGATTTACATATTAATGTATGTTGATAGATACAGCCATAACTGTGTCTCTATTTTAAAAATAGGCAGAAATACTTCACACAAAGTCTATGTATTTCTAAAAGTGCATGCACACATGTGCATTCATTTTAAAGTTTAATATGTTTTTGATGTGTTCGGGTTCTGGTTCTTGTACTCATGTTTCACATTCTCAGTTGAAAATATATCACTTTATGCCTGTAATTCCTTCACCACTCAATTTTCTCTATTTTTACTATGCTAATTTAATACAGGGCTTCTCTCTTGCTGAGCCTACATTCTACAAGCAGGAGTATAAGAAATTTAGAGTTGCCAGATGAAAATATGTGCTCTAATGGCAATTTCAACTTTGTTATATTCATATATTCTGTCCTTTAGAACCTTTCCACTTAATAGTTCAGTTCATTATTGAGTCTCATGATATCACCTTTGTGATAACACACATAGTTATTATTCATTAATTTATCATAGCCAAAAATAAATAGGGGATGGTTAGTTGTTTTTTTTTTAATTGAGGGAGAAAAGGATTTTCATTGATGTTGTTCTTGCTTTAAGACAGTATTACATAACTTTTGTCAAACACACCATAGTCTAAAACAGCACACTACTATCTATAAGTTTCAGAAAATGGGAAGGGGTGGGAAGGGGAGGGAAGGGGAAACAAAGGAGGAGGCTACAATGCTTGATAAGAAATGTACTTATTATCTTTCCCATGTAATTGTAACCCCTCTCTATGGTATTTTCACAAGAAAAAAATAAGATTGAAGTTTTCAGAAAAACAAAACCTAAATGTTTGCAATTCAAATACATAGTAGTATTCACACCTCTTCCTTGGGGTGGGGATGGAACAGGTACATCTGTCATACAAGTGACAGCCACGGATGCAGATGATGCCAATTACGGAAACAGTGCCAAAATTGTCTACAGCATCCTGCAAGGGCAGCCATACTTCTCCGTGGACCCAGAATCAGGTACAAACATTTATCTTGGTCTGATTCTCATTAAATCATACATCTGATTGTACAACTGTTTACTAAAAACGTATATCTGTGTTGTGAAATATACCCACACATTGTCAGATTAGTGTTTTCTAGGGTTCTCCCCTGAAGACTCAAGCAAACTTTCTAATACTGAAACAACCTACTTGGCTGTTAAATTATTATTTGTTAGGTTTAATAACTACAAAATTTCACAGAGGTACAGCGTATTTTATGACATTAAGGGTTGAAACCTAAAAATTGAAAAGTATCCAAATTCAACAATGTCATATGCTATGTATTTATTTTTTTTCTAAAATCATTTCTTCTCTTTTCCTTTTTTTTTTCTGATAAGACATAAGGCCTAGACTCTGTCCTTGATCTCTATTCAAGGTTGGTGCTCTACCAGTGTAAGCCACCAATCCACTTCTGGTTTTAAAGTGGTTAATTGGATATGAGTCACACTGACATTCCTTCATAGGCTGGCTTTCAACCATGATCCTCAGATTTCAGCCTCCTAAATAGCTAGGATTACAGGCATGAACCACCAGCACCCTCCTCCAAATTCATGCTCCCCATCCCCCTAAAGATCATTGCACTGATTTACCAAATTCAACTCCTTGAAGAACAGTCCTTTGGTCTTCAATTGACAATTTTGTTTGTTTCTGTTTGCTTGAATGTTGTAAAATCCATTGGCAATATGACAAAGGTATTTTAGAACGCCAAGATTTTTGCTCATTTGTGATACAATGAAATTTATATAGCATGGCTTAATTTTAAAAGGCAGTGACTTATTTATTTTTTTTCCTGAAAGGCATAATAAAAACTGCATTACCAGACATGAGCAGAGAAAATCGAGAGCAGTACCAGGTGGTTATTCAAGCCAAAGACATGGGTGGCCAAATGGGAGGTCTTTCTGGAACTACTACAGTGAACATCACTCTCACAGACGTAAACAACAATCCTCCTCGATTTCCACAGAGTAAGGAATGTCTCAGTGCTCCCCTGTGGCAAAGCTTCTGCAATGTACTAGGAGCAGAATCTAACATTTGTGTATTTAGGTTCATGCATCTGATTAAGTCATCAGTCCCTCCTTCCACAAAAATAATCGCATCATACTCTGAATTAAAAATGATAATTGTTCTCACAATTGAAGAGCTGAGAGAAAGCACAAATGAGAAATTCTGTTGCAACTTTAAAATAATCTCTGTCTTCCTTGTTGTAGAACGCAATGCAGACCAATTTCTCAACATTTACAATGAAGCTCTGATGCTTTCCTTCTGCCCTTCTTGGTTAGCAGTGTGGAATTTGGTTTGCCTTCTTGAATTCAAAGTATAGGTCTTTCCCTTGCCTTTCCTCAGCGCTCTTATTTGTCAATAGACATTATAAGAATTTAATTCATGCTATTAGATTTGATGTTTTAATATCTCTGGAACTAATTTCTATATTAAAACCAATGCCAATGGTTAAATTTGTAGCATTTCTGTATTTTATCAGTGAATCTAAATGTCATGATTTCCATTGGCTAGGATGATAAGTTATTGATACTTTACAATATGGGATGACATACTAAAATGCAGTACTATCAATTTTATTTAGCCTCGAAGATTAAATTATTAAATTCCCTTTCAGTTGTTACAATTCTGGGATATGCTTTAGACTATAATTACTTTGTTTTACATGAGGATTGTATTTAAAAGAAGATTCCTATTTGGTGCTATTTTTTTCCAAATAATACACTAAAGTTGATATTTTCAGTTAAGAGTACAAAATTTAACTTCTAATCACTGATTTCAATGCAATTGTTTTAATGCAATATTTTCAGTAAATGTGCTTCAGCTTGCCAAACTTTGAAATATCTGTTGAATCATCATTGGTGGATGTATCCATAACATTGATAACATAACAAGTTTCTTTAATAATGAAGAATAGACCTAAATAACATTAAAGTAACCACTATTTTTCAATTCCTGAAATATAAACTAAAAATAAAACTTGATGAGTTCCCTCATAATTGTACAATCTGTAATTCCAAGAATTATTAGAATAGTAACAAATGACTTGAAACTATTACAGTTAAGATACTTACAGTAGTAACAAAATGATGAGAACCAGATCCCCAATGAAATTAATTTCAGATCTCTAGTCAGTGTCCTAGCAAACATATGAACTTCTATTAGTGTCTTTCTTACTTTATGAATGAGCACATTGACATCCAATTTGAGATAATCCAACCTGCCCAATGGTTTAGATTTCTGGTTTAGATTTAAAAGAACATATATGTTTTAAAACATAATTTAATAGCCATAAAATGTATGTTGAAGCGAGGTGCCGGTGGCTCACACCTGTAATACTAGCTATGTAGGTGGCTGAGAACTGAGGATTGTGGTTCAAAGCCAACCCAGGCAGAAACTCCTTGATATTCTTATCTCCAATAAGCCACCAGAAAAACGGAAGTGGCCCTGTGGCTGAAGTGGTAGAGCACTAGCCTTATTGAGCTGAAGAGCTGAGGGACAGCATCCAAGCCCAGAGTTCAAGCCCCACGACCCCTCCCTCCCCCAAAAAAGTAAAGTTACTGCAGAGAGCGGTTACAGTTGCATGAATAAGGTAATGAGTACATTTCCTATCGAATATTGTTACCTTCCTTTGTTTTCCCCCTACCATCCTTCCCCTCTCCACCTCCCCAATTCCTCTCATCTCAAATTATAAAGTTCATTTTCAACATAGTGTCTTGTACAACTCATTGTGACAATGGGTCCACCTGTATCCATATGTCAGCATTTCCACAGAGAAACAGTATACAAAAACTCTTTGGGTTTGGGAGGGATGGGTGAGAATTTTGAAAGGAGTGACATGGAGCAGGATGTGTTCTATTCAAGTTTTTAATGGCAACTACTTTGTACAACTACTTAAAGATAATAAAAATGTTTTTGTCTTATTTTCACTCCAAATTATAGGTTATAATATCATATTTCCACCTGTAATCTAGATAACTTTGGTTACCTTTATTTCACTATATTTTTCATTAACTAAGTGGGAATTTCTAAAACTTAAAAATGTTTTTCCATTTAAACTGTAATTTTGACAGTTTAAAATTCAACATGATGTAAAATATTTCCTGATTTAAAATTGTTTCATTAAAATAAGAGAGAGGGGAGAGACAGCGAGAGCAAGAGTGAGAGAGAGAAAAGATGACATGCCCAATGTCTCTGATTTAATTTGCAGGTACCTATCAGTTCAATTCTCTGGAGTCTGTACCTCTGGGAACCCACCTTGGAAGGATTAAAGCCAATGACCCTGACACGGGGGAAAATGCTGAGATGAAATACAGCATTGCTGACGGAGATGGAGCAGACATGTTTGATGTCATCACAGACAAGGATACACAGGAAGGGATTATCATTGTCAAACAGGTTCCTCTTCACCATCTACATTCCTTTTTCAAGGGCTCTGTAATTTACTCTTGCTGTTCAGGAAAGGGCGAAAGCTCAGAGTATATTCTTTTCAGATTTTATGTGGTTTTGATCCTTCACAGAAGTGGTAAAAGGCTGTGACCTCACTTCACATAAGTGAAGGGTTTTCATCACTGATACTTATAAAGTGGTATAAAAGCTCAGTAACTGTGTTTGTAGTAAACAGCCATCAGATTCAAAAGCACTTGTTTTGTACTTGTGTATGAAGGGGGGAAAAGAAATGTGTTCAGCCTCACTTTTATTTCATACACTCTTAAAGATGATTCCAGTGCTATGGAAGGTGGTGGATTATTTAGGTAAAAAACAACTCAGTGTCATTTTTTGCATTCATGTTCTTGATTTTTAATGTAGTATGGGAGAATATGCTGAGACTTTTAGATGGTATAATATAGGTCAATATTAATTATTTTATTTCACTTCTTTCCCTCACATTTTTCTGGCTACTTATTTTCTAAAAATTACATTTTATTCAATATTCTCATCTTCACTACCTTCCATTTTAATAATATCAATAATCACAAATCCATTATATGATGCTTTATTTACCTCTCTGAAGTCCATTAGCACATACTTCATTCACCTGTGTTTAAAAATATTTAAGTACATTACCCAGTAGAAATAAATTTGAATAGATAATATGTTATATTTAGTTAAATTCTTAAAATATCTATAAGGCAAACAGAAAGGTACTAATTTATATACCGGTAATGACTGATGAAATTATTTAACCATACTTGTTGAGTTCATTAAAAGAGCAGGTTATTAAAATTGGCAGCCATTGTTATTTCTTCTAAATCATGCTGATTTTTTTCCTGTTTTATTTAACTTTAGAATTTAGATTTTGAAAAAAAGATGCTGTACACATTACGAGTGGATGTGAGCAACACTCACCCCGATCCACGCTTCTTGCACCTGGGGCCATTTAAAGACACAGCCGTGGTTAAAGTGTCTGTGGAAGATGCGGATGAACCTCCCGTGTTCAGCAAATTCTCTTACTTAATAGAAGTTGATGAAGACGTCAAGGAAGGCAGCATCATAGGACAGGTCACAGCATATGACCCAGATGCCATGAACAATGTAATCAAGTAAGTTTCCAAGTTAAAGCCTCATGTGGAAAAGCTGTATTGCACGGTTCAATTGTCAATTCGAGTGATAAACACTTGAGGGGGGTGAAGTCTTACCAGACAGTTGACTAATTGCTCTAGGTATTTTGTTTTCCTTAAGTCTTATGATGCTCTGGGTATGAGACTACAATATTTCTCTGGGAATGATCATATTGAGGCACTGTGCGTTTACATAATTAGCTTCATAGTGGCAAAAGTAAAATCAGCAACACCAATCTCTATTTGTTGATATGGTTCTTACCCATCATTCTTCTTTGTTAATTAAAAAATTAAAAATTCTTTAGAAAAAAATTTAGAAATTATTGCTAAAAATATATCTATTCTCTATAAACACCAAAATATCTTCTTCAAAAATATCTAATAAACCTAACACATGCCACAATTGTGAAGCAACTATGTAGCAATTATATTTTCATTAAAACCAAAATGATAGCAAATGATAATAATATGTAAATTAATAGGAGATATAAAATTACTAGTAGCTAGTAAAGTGACACTTCTCCAAATATGAATGTAGTATCCACCACTTAAAAGCTTTTAAAAGGTCAAAATTTTTGCCAATTCTTAAAATTCATACTTAAGAAGGATAAAAAATTGATTGTAATATAAATGGGTATGATAGGTACATGGTAGTGAATGTGTAGGAATATAAACAACTCAAATTTTCTCATAAATGCCTTGTTAATAAGAACAAAATTTTCTTAATATTTACTTAATTATTTACTTATGTATGTACATATGTGTCTATATATGCATGTATGTGTGTATGTATGTATGCATGTATGTGTCAGCTGGGAACTTGAACTCAAGACCCAGGCGCTGTTCCTGAGACTCTTTTCTGCTGAAAGCTAACAATCTACCACTTAAGCCACAGTACCACTTCCAGTTTTTGAGTGGTTTATTAAAGATAAAAGTCTCATACCAGGCCAGCTTTGAACCCTGATCATCAGATCTCAGCCTACTGAGCAGCTAGGATTACAGTTGTGAAATACTGGTACCTGGCAATATTGTTTTGTTTTGTTTTTAATGACAGAAAGAAAATGCTTAAATTATTTTCATTCCAACATCCCTGAACTCTAGGACTTTTCTTTTTCTAATTTAGATTCAGGCACTATTTTTTGGAAGGTTATCCATGTTTTCTGACATTATGGACAAATTTCTTATTATTCTCCCATATGTATGCTTGGTATTTATTTTCCTTAATTCATTTTCGGGACAGCCATCAGAATACTATTGTATAAAAGTATCAAAAGAGAAATCATAAGTGTGCTTACTGTTTTATGAGGAAATTATTTACTATATTGTTCCCCACTCTGATACAATTTACAACTTTATTTCCTTTATAAAATCGTGTGCATCAGCCAGGTGTCAGAGGCTCAGGCCTTTAATCATAGTCACTAGCTGTCAATGTCTAAGGTGTTGGGGTCCCTGGGTAAGGGTCACGAAATCACCAGGACACAGGCCATGCAGAGTGTAAACAGCAATTGCCACTGCATGCTGTGCTTTATTGTTGGTGGGTATTTAAAGACAAGCAAGCATTATCTTTGCCAAGATTTAGTCAGGAAACATTCATACAAAGAATTGCAACAGATACATTTTTACTAAACCTATGAGACAATGTCTTTGTATATTATTATCTAAACTATTTTAGAGCAAGGTCAAACCACTTCCCTAATCTCAGGAAAATGCTTGACTAGCTGTTCATGTATGCTTAAGCAAGCAGAAGAGCTACTTCCTCAGCTCCCAGGAGTCTGTGACATGTTTTGAGATAGGGAGAGAGAACAAGTTTCCTCTCTAGCCCGGCATGCCAAGAGCTTTCCACATACACAAACACAGTCCTCAGAAAATCCTGAGGCCTGAGCCTGCATCATTCTGCCCTGTCAAATAGACCTGAGTCTTCACATCTACCCTTGAACCAAAAAGCTAAGGGACCAAGCCCAGGATCTGAATTCAAGCCTTCGACTGGCACAAAATAAAATTAACTAAAAAACAAATAAAACAAAAAAATAGGTTCATTGCCATTTATTGAGAAATTGGTTCAGTGTGTGCAGATGAGTTTCAAAGCTTCATGTTTGCTAAGCAAATGCTGTACCTCCTGAATCATGTGTTTTTGCTCAGGGTTGACCTCAGATTTCAATCGTATCTATCGCCTCGTACGTATCTGTGATTAAAGAGAGATATCAACACACCCCTTTAAAAGTTGGGATTGGATCATGCTAACTTTTCACATGAACTTGATTTGAAACTGGTCCTCTTGATTTTTGTCTTCAAGTAGATGAGATTGTCACTGGGACTAGCCTATCTTTATTACTTATTTGAGGAATAAATTTATTCCTCGATGTTATTATTGAGATACCCATGTGGTTTGCTAAAATGGTGGGATATTTTTATTTTATAAAATATTGAACAACCCTGAATTTATGAGATAAATGCCATATAGTTGTTTTTGTCCTTATAAGTATTGCTACTGATTAGCTTTTACTTCCTTTGTTGTCATTGTCTAGATTTGGTACCACAGTTATCAATGACTTTGACCAGGATATATTATTGTATGCCTGTAGAAAAATGTCAGAATTAAATCTTGCCTTGATGAAGTAATATATATTAACAAACAAAGAAATAAATAGATTAAATAAATTTTAGGAGAAAAAGACAGTAGTAAACAATTGTCTTATTTTCTAGACTTTCTTGCATAGAGATAGTCTTTTCCTTTCATATTTGACAAGCTTTAACAGCTACGGTATTTGGCATCAAAAATTTCTTTTTTTTTGAATTTATTTATTGTAAAGATGCTGTACAGAGGGGTTACAGTTACATGAGTAAGGTAATGAGTACATTTCTTGTCCAACATTGCTATCCCCTCTTTGTTTTTTTCCTACTACCCTTTCCCTTTCCTATCTCTCTTACTCCTCCCCCGCCACCCAAAGTTGTAAAGTTCATTTCCAACATAGTGTCTTGTGAGTATCATTGCTGAAATGGGTCATCCTGTGTCCTTGTCTCAGCATTTTGTTATTCCCCTTCCCTCCCCAAATTTGATAAATGTATATACAAAGTGCAGGGTCCTAAAATCAAATAGAGTGACAAAGGGGATATATCATAGGAGGAAGAGCATATAAAGGGAAGAAAAAAGATCACATAGTACATTAAAAACAACAACAATAAAGAAAAACCTCTTGTCAGAAATTTCTCATAGCTTACAAGTTGCCTTTTTCTTGATCTAGGGGTTAATTTTTTTTTTTCTTTTCAGAGTATCTGTGAGTTCAGCTAAAATGTTAAACTTATTAATATATATTTGTTCAAAACATATACAAATTTTACAGTAACTTTTGGATATCAACATGGTTCATTTGCATTCTCACTTAAAACACAAATTTACATAGGGAGTATGTGTTTTTATTTTAACCCTAAATTAATATGCTGTTTGTTAATTGGAATATTTAGATCCTTGCTTTAAACCATCTTATCAATTGCTTCTTGGTTGTTTTATTTATGTTGTTTTCTCTTGTCTTCAGCTTACTTTGAATTACTTCAGAATTTTCAGAATGAGTGGTACAATAAAATACTGTCTATACAATTTTTGTTGTATCTCTTTCTCTTCCTGTGTGTCTCTTACCTTCTATGTCTTTCTCTCTCTCTCTGTCTCTGTGTCTCTGTCTCACACACACACACACACACACACACACACACACACACACAAGTCTTAAATACACCAGGGATTGAACTCAGGATGCCGTGCTTTCTAGTCAGGCACTTTAACACTGAGCCATACTTCCAACATCTTTTCTTTCAAATAGGTCTATTGTGCGTCCATCTGCTTTTAATGCTGTCAGTTGTGTCAAGTGACTTGATTTGGCCACCGAAGACTTCATTTTTGTTCAAAGATTATTTTGGTTTTAGGATCTGTGAATTTTTAGGTTCTGTCTGAAACTTTTAGTCATCATTTCATCAGTGTGTTTTGCCTTACATTTAGCTTCATATCCAAGTCCGATAGTTTTTATGCAAAATTTTGTTAGTTTTAAATCCATATCTGCGGTATTTTTCAATGTTAGGTATTGTACTCACGTCTGTAGATGTTTTACACATTCATACACACATATTATATTACATATATATTATATATTGCACCAAGTGTAATATTCACGTTGGAACTCAGAGCCTTGCTCTTTCTAGACACATACTGTACCATTTGAACCCCACACTAGCACTTTTTGCTTTTATTGGTCTTTGAATACAGCTTTGCCTTTATTATTGGCCATTCTTGAATGTGATCCTTTTCATATTTGGGCAGCTCATGTAATTTAAGTGACAGACATATCTCACCATAGCCCTCTTTAATTAGTTTAGATGAAGTCTCCTGACAATTTTGTTTGAGTAGCCTCGAAGAAGAATCCTCTTGATCTTTCCTATTGAGTAGTAGAATTATTGCTGTATAGAATTATACACCTTGAGGGGACAAGACGTTTCTGACCAATCTACTAAACTTCCTGTAAGCTACTATTTTCCACTCTCTATGGTGAGAATATTTCACAATTAGTCCTTTTCATGTTTTGGCCCTTTATCCATATGAATGGTTTCCTCTATGGAATGATGTTCTGATACAATCTCTTGGATAAAGATTGTGAGCCGGTGGCTCATGCCTGTAATCCTAGCTACTCAGGATGCTGAGATGTGAGGATTGCGGTTCAAAGCCAGCCAGGGAAGGAAAGGCCATGAGACTCTTATCTCCAATAAACCACTAGAAAACTGGAAGTGGTGCTGTGGCTCAAGCGGCAGAGTGCTCGCCTTGAGCTGAAGAGTGCAGGGACAGAGCCCAAGCCAAAAAAAAAAAAAAGAGTTGTGTGGTATCTTGCAAACTTTTTCTACCTTAGTCACCATGAACTCCTGCATCATCTTTTCAACAGAAGCACCTTGGCAGACTCCATCCTCAATTCTATATCCTGGATTGTAGCAGATCTCTACACTTCATACAGACGTCCTAGAGCTCACTTCCCCTTCATTATATCCCATTTATCCAGAATTTTCATCTTCATTTCTAGAAATTTCTTTCTTAAGATCTACTGTTTTATGTATTTGTTGGACTTTTAAGGATTATAGTACTATTATAAAACCAATCTTTATTGTTCTGTCTTTTCCAAACTAAGGTAGAAAAGTTATATCAAAACATAGATATATACTGAATCATAATGCTTTGTTTTAGGTGACACAAGAGCATTTGCAGTAAATAAGATTGCGTAGCTCACTGCTCTGTCATTTCATCAATGTAGTTTTTCAGTCACATTAAATGTTCTATGTTTGAAACTATTTTTCACCTTGCTATCCCAACTTTGTATCAAGTTCAGTATGTATACATATATCTTTATATTAATTCTGAGTTTTCACTTATCTCACTAAATTTCTTAACAAAATGTGTTTTTATGAAGTGTGTGCTAGCATGTAAATAATACATCACTGATGAGCAATTACAGTGTTTGAATGCATACTACTCCCGTAAATGCTATAACTGCCTAAGAAAAAGAATGTCAAACATAAAGTTTCCTCATCAAAGATTAGCAGTAAGATTTTCTCTCTTGCTTTCCAAGCTGCTTAGTGTAATAAATGTAGTTTATACATTTTTAAATTTTTTGTTCTCCCAAAGACATTTACACTATCATGTGTTTACAAATATTAGAGAAAACTAAAACTAAAAAACAAAACAAAATGAAATAGCAAGTCTTGTTTCATCTAGATTCCCAAGAAATATTAAGAGAACAAATTTTGAAGTGTTACTAATCCTGATATCATTTACATATCAGGTGATTCCCATTAAAAAGTAAGTGTGTGTCATAAATCTGTAGCTCTCCCAGCTACAATGTGAAGAAAAGTCACTAATAGTTCTCCAAGAATGCTGTGTTGTTATATGGAACTATATTTCTTGCTCTGATTTACTTCAGAACAGCATCCAATCTCAAGAGCTACAAAAGACAATGGATAGTATCATGCAGACCTGTACCTTAGGGAAAGTTTGAGATTGAGTTCTCACGCGTCCACTAGATCTCTACATCACATGCATTTTCTGAAGCACATCTGTCACTGGCACCATGAGATTGTGGCTACAATTAGCAGCTGTTGTCACCTCCGCTTCACCTCATTAGTTATCATGGAGCTCCCAAATTAGGGGGTTGATTATAGCTTTACAAGTTTCAAAAGAACATTTTGCTTCATTTCACAGCTATTTTATGCTTAGCATATTTAAAGTTCAATGATTTTTAGAAGAAATCTTTTCTACTGCTGCCAACCTAAAAAAACAAGAAAACAAATTTACTGTCAAGAGATGTAGTTATGCTCTAATACAATTCCTTCGTGCACTGTGGCTTGTACATCAGGCATTCTTACACACATACAGAGCCTAGCCATGCTACTTTAGCATTTCTTTTATTTTATTACAGAGGACAAAATATTTAATAATCTACCTGGGCAGGATGTCAAACAACTGTAAACAGAGAACACAAGAAGCTGAGGCAGGAGGACCCTGAGTTCAAGGCTTATCTGGGGTACATAAATAATTCTACTTAAAATAAGATTATTTCTGAATTGTATTTGAAATATCGAAGTAAAATTACAGGGAATTTACTTAGTCAACATACACATTTTTTAAAGAGGCATGGACTATTCATAGTTTTCAGCTACATTTGGAAAGCAGTAACTAGAAAACAAAAGGAATATCTATATGCCAAATATTGAATTATTGAATTAACTGCCGGGATTTCAGAACAATAAAGCAAATTCTATCAGAACCCACTATTTCATACTACTTATTTGTTTGGTCATGGATAAAATTGCAGGGACATATAATTAATTTATGTTTTACACACATATGTAAATGATATATAAAAGAAAATAAATAAAATATAAATACCAGAGCTCAGCTTCCACATTCTCTTATTTAAAGTACTTTTTTTGTTTGTCATTTGCTGTGTATGTATGATTAGATCCTGTCTCTCTAGAAATAGCACATATAAAAAAATCACTGACTTTTCTATGTTATTGTTCAAAATTCAATACAGGGAAATCAATAAAATATTATTGTTATTGTAAGTCATCTACTGTGAACCTGAGATGTTGACTCTGTGTAAAGTGTTTATCTGGTCATTTGTTTTAAGGTGATGTATTTATTATTAATAAGTAAATCAGAATGTTTCTACTCAATGCTGAAAATAGAAATTGGCTGCTACATGAAAGAAAATTATCTCTGAGCTTTGACAAAAATGAGGCATCATTTGCACTGCAGAAAAACTCTAAATATAGACCAGGAAGTTTGCAATGTTAATGACAGAAAGTGAGAGTGAGAGCGAGCTGTTTCTAGAGTGTCAAAGTGACTCTCCTTCATGAATTCTTAACTTGAAAGACAATGCTTTCAAGGTGAATCCAAACAGTAAGACAGTGGGAAACCCATATCTATTTTTGATCCTACATAAGCTATTAGTGAATCAAGTTTGACTTCTTCAGTGTTAGACCTGATCTTTATACTCATTCCATGTGAATCTACATAGCAGGTAACAGTGAGGGAGAGACAGAGAGAGAGAGAGAGAGTGCTTTGTTTTCTAAAATCTATCTAAGCATAAACAGATAATGGTAACTTCATCTACTACATAGGTGGAAATATTTCTTTACTGGTGAATATTGAGAATGGAGTTGGCTTGTTTGTTTACTTCTTTTTGTTTTCTTTTTTAAGCAAAAGAATATGGTTATGTTATTTTACTTTTCTTTCCTACATTCATTTATATTTCTGTAGATACATAAGCTGGATTTTTTAATGCACAAAACATATGATTTGAATGACTTTCCTTTTACACAACATGTAGCAGAAATGTGATCTCATATGTAAATAAAACACACATTAAGAAATAAATTATAGGAGAGTTGAAACAAAATATTTTTGTTTACCTCACTACATGCAAACAGTAAAAATAAGGGACAGCACATTCCATATGCTGGCCAGTCCCAATTTTGGAACACTAATAATTACTTTAAAAATTAAATCTGCTGTTCTTTCTGTTAAGGATCATTTTCACTGTATTTGATGAAATAGGGATACAGATGGACCCATTACAACAATGATATGTACAAGAAGTGTGGAGTCCCAGTTCCGACACTGGAACTCCTTATTCAAATTAGATATTTCTGTTTAGCATATCCAGGGCTTTGTGTACACTGGGCAAGCACTCTACCTCTGAACAATACAACCAATCAATTCTTGTACATAATAAAATACAGAAGTGATTCATGTGAATAACAATCTTCGAAAACGTTCATTCTTCCCATATGGATTTTTTCTCTACTCAGCAAGAAAACTGTCAGACAGGTAAATTGTATTTGCTAGCTAATTATAATATAAACATAATGACTTAAATAAACAGAAATCTATTCTCTTACTATTCTTTAAGTGAAAAACATGGTATGAGTCTCCCTGGGCTCCAATAGACATGAAGGTGTGGAAAGGTACATTTCTTTCTGCAGACATTGGAAAAGAATTGTCTGCTTGCTTATTTAGGTCCCTGTCAGATTTCAAATTCTTGCATAGATAAGGTTCCACTTTCCTTCCAGGCTCCCCTCAGGACTGTTGTTAATTTGTTCTTCAGTCTTTAAGATTAAAGTCAAGTCCTTCTCGCCCTTCAGTTTTCTCCTTTATGTCCCTTTCTTCATCTCCTTAGACCATTATCCTACTTTCCCTCTTATTCTACTCTAAAGGGCTCTTAGCATTAAATTAGAAACATCTGGAGAATCAAGAATAATCTTCAATCTTATTGCTATCTATCTTAATCACACCTGTAAAGTTAACTTTCACCATGTCACATAACAGATCTATGGGTTCTAGGGATTTGGTAATGAAACTTTTTGTGACTGCTGCTGATATACAGCTTATAGTGACAGCTGTGTCTTCATATTCAGTGTGGTTGTAAAATTACAGAGCTCTGAAGTAATGTAATCATATTTTATTTTTAATTTAACTGGTTGGGGGAAAAATGAGAGGACTATTCAGCTGATCATCTTCAGCAGAGATGTACCTTAGATATAGAGACATTCACAAGGAGGTTACTTTATAATATATTCCCTATATATTTGAAAGCACATTTAACTGATTTAATGCTATGGACTATCCAATTTAACATGAAACATTAATATGTCTAAATTACGGAAATAATCATTTCACAAAATATATAAATTTATTTAAAATTTACTAATCCACTTAGAAGCATCTGCAAAAATTTATCATTTTAAACCATGATTTTAAAACATTCCAACTAATACAATAAAAAATAATGGGCATAGTCAAATATATCTAGGTGTTTATATATATTATCTCTACAATTTAAAAGTTATCATCACTTTATATTTCCTGTTTTTGTCAACTCATACTGGGAATAGTCTATATAGCTTAAGAAACAGTGGAAGAATGAATAATCTTGCCTGGATTTATGAGTCTCTTTCCTGTCAGGTATTCTGTTGATCAGCATACTGACCTGGACCGGACTTTCAGTATCCACTCAGAAAATGGCTCAATTTTCACTCTGAAGCCTCTTGACCGAGAATCTTCCCCTTGGCACAATATCACCATCATGGCCACGGAAATAAGTAAGCTGTAGACATGTCCATGTAAACATTTAACTTGCAGCAAACTCAGAAAATAGTGGCACTAAGAAAATAGTTCTGACTTCAGTGGTTGTACTGTTGGGAAGACCTTAGGGGGCAAAAATATTTCAGAGGGTATTGCAATTTTTAGTAATATTTAGGATGTCTTTAAGAACTTATAAACCACTTATCCATTCTGCTTTCACAGTTTACAGTCTAATAAACATGCAATGCAACCTTTGAAAAAATCATTACTCAGCCTATTAAAATGATCTATTACAAATGATATTCAGTTCTCAATTATGCTTTCCTCTTTTTATTTTTTGCTTACATCAGGTAAGAAAGTTGGTGCATCAAAATCTAAACAGGAATTGTAACTATAACAGAACTGAGTTGTTGCTAATTTGCAAAGGGAAATGTAGTTTTATTGCATCTCTCTTAAATTCACTGAAATCTCAAGTGTGTTCTCTTGACCATATGTTCTTTTTACAGATAACCCCAAGCAAAGTAGCCACATCCCTGTCTTCATCAGAATTTTAGACATAAATGACCATGCGCCAGAATTTGCCACATACTATGAAACATTTGTTTGTGAGAATGCAAAATCTGGACAGGTAAGTGGAATTCATTAGAAATGTTCACAAATGTTTCTTTCCCAATGAGTATGACTGTGTTTTATCTCTATGATTTTTCTAGTTATTTTACTTCTTCTCATGCATTTATCAGCTCTTACCAAAAACTGAGATAATTTTTGGGGAGTAGCAGGGGGAAATCGGGCTTGTACCTAGGGTCTGGGCCCTGTCCCTGAACTTGTTTGCTCTATCACTTACATTCTACAATATAATGAATAACACATATACAAAAAGTTAGCCAGGTGCTAATGGCTCACACCTGTAATCCTAGCTATACAGGAGGTTGAAGTCTGAAAATTGTGGTTTGAAACTATCTGGGGCAGGAAAGACCATGAGACTTTTATTTCCAATAAACTACTCAGAAAAAGTCAGAAGTGTTCCTGTAGCTCAAGTGGTAAATGCTAAGTCTTGGGTAAAAGGAGTTTAGGGACTGTGCCCAGGCCTGGATTTCAAAGGCTAGGACCAAAAAAAAAGTAAAGAAAATGTCTTACTGGACTCAATATTAGATTGAGTTAGGTAAATTAAAATAAGGAAATAAGGGGCTGGGAATGTGACTTAGTGGTAGAGCGCTTGCCTTGCATGTCTGAGGCCCTGGGTTCAATTCCTCAGCACCACATAAACAAAAAGAAATAAGCTGGAAGTGGCACTGTGGCTCAAGAGGTAGAACTCTAGCCTTGAGCTGAAGAGCTGAGGGACAGCGCCCAGGCCCAGAGTTCAGGCCCCATGATCGGACCCCCCACAAAAAAAGGAAATAAATTATGAAGTCAATATGAAAAAAATATATGTAGCTCAGTCAGGAGTCCAATAACAAAAAAGTGTTTTTTATGATTTATAATTTGCAGATTGCTGAAATAAATCTAAATTAGAATTTTCTAAATTAAGGTAATATTTTAAGTATACCTAAAACAATTTAAAATCAGTTATATAGAATATATTCATCTTGACAGAACATGTTTTCTAATAATATTAACTATGTTCTTTTTGTTGAAAGTAATTCCAACAGTTATTTAGGCATATTTTAACAGAGGCATTATGGAAATGTCAAAAATCATCTGTAATTTCTTCCTTCTTAGAAGATAAATTGAAATGCTGTCTTATATTCTAATAGAAATTATTTAGATTGAGTATTTGTGCTCTTGCTGTTTATATGTTGTGCTCTCTAAGGAAATAATGAAGGTCAAATGAGGTCTTGGGATATGATGACCTGAGAGTCTCCCTAAAAAAAAAACAAAAAACAAATAAAGAAAAGAAAAGAAGATGCTTGAGCTGACAAACCAAGGGAAAGCCATGAGATAGCATTTCAACGTAACATTTTGCTATGTTGTCTCCCACATGACCAAGAAAAAGGTATTTTCCACAGTTGTCTTCTACAGAAACACCAGAGAAGGCTGAAGAGGTGTCATAGTTCTGATAGGCTAGCTGCTAAACTGGCTGAGGTATGAGGACCACAAATGTGAGGCAAATCTGGGCAACATGCTGTCCAAAAATAAGTAACAAGTTTTAATCCACATAAAGTCATTTTATCAAGTTTTCACTTCAAAATTGTTATATGGTTTGGTACTTTGCTGCAGGTCATGGTCAGTTCCTCGGTTCAGTAAATAGTTGCTGTATTGGATTATTTTTATATTCACACTTTAACATATTCAACCAAATCCACTGATACACATTCTACTCAAAACAAGATATTACTAGTATTGCAGCTAGTATTATTATCTGTTATTGTTTTCCTCTGAAATAGTCCAGGTAGGCACAGATAAAATTTATCTATAAAATAGTAAATACTGCAAAATGATTTTAAAATGTATTATTTTTGATAGTATTTGGGTTAAACGTTGGGGTTTCATGATTACTGAGCAGATGTTCTATTACTTGAGCCATAGCCTCAGGCTTGTTTGCTATGGTTTTCAGATAGGATCTTCAGATAGTTACCCTAAGAGATAGCCTGAGACAACAAACTTCCTCTCAATAGCTTGGATTATGGCCCACCATTGCCCACTTGTTGCATGCAAACATTTGCCTGGTCTGGCTTAGAATTTAAATTCTTTCAATCTCTGATTTCTAGTAACTGAGATTAAAGGTATGAACTTGTCATGCTCTTACTAAAACTTTTTGGCTTACTTTCTTGGATGATTATTACATGACTATAGACTTCTAAATATTCCGTAATAGTATAATTTCCCTCACACTCAATAAGGCTGAATTTTTCATAAAGCTATGCATGCATTAATTTGTTCATTTTTAGTTTTCACAGTTGTTTGTCACAATTTGGTTCCTGAGAGAGTCATGAAAATTTATTACAAACTAGATGATTTTTTTCTCCTCTTTTACAATTTAGGGATTATGGTGGTGCAGTATCATCAGGGTTATGATCTCTTCAAAGTCTCCAGGAGAAAATTCTTCTTAACATACTCAAGATTCTTGGTGTTTCCAGGAATCTCCCATGTCCCACGGAGTATGGAAGCCTCCATCCCGATTACATTCTTACTGTTTCTTCTCCTGGATCCAAGTTCATTTCTTTCTAGCAGGATGGAATCATTGTGTTAGAGCTTTCAGAGTTCCAAAACCATCTCTTTTTATTTTGATTACATCTGTGAAGTGTTTATTTCTCAATGAGCCATATTAACAGTTACTGTGATTTAGGATGTGAGTATATGTTCAGGGGTCAAGCACTAAGCTCCAATAGCCTACAGATACTATCTATGTGTTTACTATGTTTACATTCTTTGGATTTATTTGATTAACAGCTATAATACATATTAACATTCAACTTATTTAGGTTAACTATAATTAATATAGGATATTATTTCTTTATGAAAAATCAAACATAAAATAAGTTACTGACATATTTACATTCTTAAAATTTAAGTAAATCCATCTAAAATCAGAATAAATTTCTGTACATCATCAAACTAACAAAAACTTTGACAGAAAATTTTACTAAAAATAGCTTTTTTATTAGCATTCAGGGCAAGAATTTGAGCAAGAATGCTACACTGAAAAGTTGGATGCTGGTGGCAGACATCTGGAATAGAAGCTACTCAAAAGGTTAAACTTGCTGAATCACAGTTCAAGGCCAGTTTAGACAGGAAAGTCTGTGAGACTTTTATTTCCAATATTCTAAGCAAAAGCCAAAAGTGGAGCTGTGGTTCAAATGGTAGAGTGGTAGCCTTAAGGGGGAAAAATGTTCCGTGACAACACTCAGGCCTTGAATTCAAGCTCCATCATACATATCTGTGTGTGTGTGTGTGTGTGTGTGTGTGTGTGTGTGTGTGTGTGTGTTCTTTTTTCCCCTAAGGAACAATGGAGCAATGCTGAGCTACTTTTGTAGTATTTACTGCACAATTTAGAAGCATCCCTGAAATAAGTGTAAAAGCATGGTCTATTTGTCAATAAAACAAGTGAAGTTAAAGCTAAGATATAGATAAATTAGAAAAAAATACTGTCAGGAATTGTGTAGAATGGTTTGGCTGCAGAAGGTTTTTGGAAACATCAGTAACCATACACATTTATAAAGGGGTGACTATAAAATTTCAGTAACTTCACCACAGAATGTTAGCTTAGAATATCGGGTGATGATAAAGCTTCATACTTTCTTAGAAGTCAAGACTGAAAGTAAAGACAGCTCCACGTCTCACAGATGCGCACCCAGGATTAGAAGAGGAGCATGCCCATGTGGAGTCAGTGGTTTCTCCACTGTCAGACAGTCCACCTGTTGCTTGCTGTCCTGCTCCGTATTCCTCTAGGACACATGACTGACAGTACACTCAGCTACACAGTTTTATCATCCTGAATTTCCACATTGTCTTTAACATTTCTTCATAGATTTATATTTGCAAATGACATTAAAACTAAAGCATGCAAACATAAAAGGAAATATTCAATACAATGTTCACAGTTATTCTCAGATCTTTAACATCTTTATGATAGGAACTCTTTCATTGGTTCATTTTCCCCAAACTTAATGAGATAGTATTTTAATATCTATTAGTGATGCAGGTACTCCTTTTCATTTCTTAAAGATATTACTTAAGATGTCTTCCTTTGAGAAATTATTTTCAAGCAGAGGAAACTGAATCCCATCCAAATAGTAATAATGGAGACAAGTACTCTTTCAGCGCACAAATAGCACAGAATAGGACCTGAGTGATCACATTTTTCTTTGAAGGTGGAAGGTTCTCGTGGCTTTCTAGCAGAAAATGGGGCACAAGATGCCATGGAAACTAAGACGTGATGGATGTTTTGCAAAATTACTTAAATGTTATCTTGGACAAAACTATTTAAAATCCCTTGGCGAAGCTTTCTGCAAGTGACATGTTTGCTTTCTTTAAGTTTTAGAGATAGAAACCGAGCATGAGCCAACACACTTGTAAATCTCCTAGGGACAGAGAGGGGCTTCTTGTTCCTTGTGCCTGAATGAATGCTTCTATTTGCATTGCAGCTGATTCAAACTGTCAGTGTCACGGACAGAGACGACCCACCTCGAGGCCACAAGTTCTTCTTTGAACCGGTGCCAGATGTTCCTCTTAACCCGAACTTCACCATCGTAGACAATAAAGGTAGAGGAGAGCCTTAGAGATAATCATCCCCAACCCTTGAGAAGGAAAGAAATGAAAAACGACTGCAAAGTGCTTTTCTTTGTGTTTCTCCTCAGATAACACGGCGGGAATCCTCACCCGTAAAGATGGGTACAGTCGCACCAAAATGAGCACCTACCTCCTGCCCATTCTAATCTTTGACAATGACTACCCTATTCAGAGCAGCACTGGCACACTCACCATCCGCGTGTGCGCCTGTGACAAGCATGGGAACATGCAGTCGTGCAACGCCGAGGCCCTGGTCCTTGCTGCTGGCCTGAGCACGGGGGCCATGGTAGCCATCCTGCTGTGTGTGGTCATTCTGCTCAGTAAGCCAATCCCCAACCGCCAAAGCTCCGCCACTGCCCAGGCACTGGGTGTGAAACTGCACTCTTCCCCACACCTAAGGGTCCAACACTTGCACTTTGGGAGGGGCATGCATGGTTTCCATTCAGATTGTTTTCATTACCAGCTATTATTTGGACAAGGGGGGGGATTTTGCTCTGTAACTACAGACAAGCATACAATGAGCATGCATCAATTTCAACATCTCCCGCCAGCTCTGCCCCCTTCCTTTGAAAGACTTCAACAATTTGCACTGCCCTGCTTCCATGAACGGTACAATACCCATCATTCATGTACGTCCTTATCCATGCTCTCCATTCACCTCCCCCTCCCCCTTTTGCTGCTATCTGTCCCCAAAGAGAGCCTGGCTTACTATTCTGTCAGTCATTGTAGTGGACATGATTGGACCAAGGTGTTTCACCATGGTATTTCATACAGACATCTTACATTTCACATTTCAATGATATAACCTTCCAGAATTGTCCCTCTCTCATTAACCTCTACTCATCTCATATTGACTAGATTCCAGTAAATCTCCTTATGAACCTATTCATAACTGTAAACAATATATTTTGATATTTTTCACCCTCAGTCCTCCTCTCCCTTCTCCTCAATGCAGAACAAACATCATATGTAATATTATGTTACATGTATGCTCATATACAAATATGTATTCTTATATATGAATGTACATGTCTATGAATGTATGTTTTTAAGACCAGATTACACATGTAAGGAAAATGTGAAATTTGACCTTTTGACTTTGGTTAACCTCATTCAAAATGATAACCTCCAATTCCATCTAGTGTCCAGCAAATGGTATGATTTGATTTAAACAATTTTTATTAAGCAATCATACTTTTGATTAGAGAAAAATACTTTATGCCTTTGGGGATAGGTCTAGCATCCTAGATATCATTAATAGGACAGAATGCAATAAATTTATTATCAAATAATCTTACATCATTAATTGTAGATTAGTGCTCTAAAGATATTTGAATTTTAAGTCAATCTTCTTAACTCTTCAAGGTAACCATTTTTGTTCTATTACAGAATGCCTAAAGAATATGTCTAATTATCATTTTTCTTTTTTTTTTTTTGGGTCCGGTTGTGGGGCCTGAAATCTGGGCCTGGGCGCTGTCCCTCAGCTCAAGGCTAGTGCTCTACCACTGAGCCACCTTCCCAGCCCCTAATTATCATTTTTCTAAAGTACTTTAACAGTAATCAGAAAAAATAAAAAGAAAACAAATACCAGAGGATTATCTATTATTCCTCAAACTGTACATAATTTCACCTCTCTATATAACTACCATTACTAACATGTTTGATTTGTTGTTTTGTTTTGCGGGTCCTGGGGCTTGAACTCTGGGCCTGAGTGCTGTTCATAAGCTCTTGTGCTGTAGGCTAGCACTTTACCACCCTGATGCTCTACCATAGCATCACTTCCAGTTTATTGGTGGTTAATTGGAGATAAAGAGTTTCATGGACATTCCTTCCCAGGCTGGCTTTGAAGTAGGATCCTCATATCTCAGCCTCCTGAAGAGGTAGGATTAAAGGCATGGGCCATGAATACCTGGCTTACTGACATGTTTTAAATCATTTATCTCACATATCTACAGGAAAGGCACTGAAGTTTTCATAATAAGACAAAATATATTCTCCATAGAATTTATTATATATAGGTCTAATACAGGAAATATTTTTTTAAAAAAGTTTAAAGGTAAGTTTTAATATATCATTGTATCACTGGTCACAACCATCCTGAGTACTTTCTAAATTCACTCATGCTTCCAACAGCAAATGTTTTATTCAAGCAGGACACCACTTTAATTCAATTAAACAGTTGTTTCAATTCAGCCTCTCCAGAAATTATTTCCAGCCAACATTCATCCAAAATTCTTATGCTTCAGGCATGAAAACGAGCCAAATTTACATCCTAGTACTCATATGTGCTGGCTTCTCATCACAAATGCTCTCGAGCTAGCTGGATGGAATCCTTTGGCCAAATCCTTGCAGGACTTCACTGGGGGCTTGGTGAAAACGAGGGGAAACCATTTGTCTCAGTGAAGTTGATCCAACTAACTAGAAAAACATTTTCTCACAGTGGATTAGCCTTTCTACCCCCACCATGAGCATTTCCCACCTCCATCTGCTTCTTCAAAGTTCAATTTCCTCATAAAATGCTTTTCCTTTCCTTTCCTTTTATCCTTATGGGAATTTAAACCAACTTTACCCTGGTAATTTAGATGCTACTGATTTATATTGTTCTTTTTTCTCAGAAATCATTGCTTTTCTAACTTAAAATATGATGGATCTGTATATACTTCTATCACTTTTTTAAATTTCTGTGTTCACATTATATGCATAAAAACTTTCATGGACATATGGGAGAACAAAAGCACCCCATAAATAAATTCAAATATGTTAACATTGCCATAGTAATTTTGACAACATTTTTGCCTAGGGAGAATCTTATAATTACCCTCTTAGTCAGAAAACACCTTTCTTAACTGAGAAATACAGAAGGCACCCATTTCTTTCTTTTTTTTTAACCTTTCAAACTTATTACTTAAATATGGAGTGATTTTTTTTGTTTAAAAGTTGTTCCAAATCAGATACTAAAACATACTTGCTTTCATATCAAGTCTTTATAATAATGGAAGTAATAACATGGTCCTTACTCACATATATTTTTGAATAAATGCAGTTCTTTCTTTCATTTTTTTCTTTCTTTTCCTTTTTTTTTTTTTTGGTTGTTGTTGGCTGTGGACCTTCAACTCATAGCCTGGGCAAGGCCCCTGAGCCTCTGTGTGCTCAAGCTTAGCATTCTACCCTTTGAGCTACAGCACCACTTCCAGTTTTCGAGTGGTTAATTGGAGATGAGAGTTTCATGGAGACTTTTCTGCCAGGGCACTCTTTGAACTGTGATCATCAGATCCAAGCCCCCTGAGGAGTGAGGATTACAGGCATGAGCCATTGGCGCCTAGACGAATGTCTATGATATGAGGCAAAATTGGAGACTGCAACTAGGATATGTGTGCATAAACATTTTTGTTTCCAAAGAAATTTCTAATAATAAATTAATCTTGTCTATTTACTTAGGATACCTAAATGCATTTCTGAGAAAGGTAGGGGTATAGCTCAATAGTGAAACATGCTTCTTTCTTCTATAAGACCTTGGATTTAATCCCCAATATTTCTAAGTGAATAGATACTGTTTTAGTTGGCAATAATAATGATGATGTTAGATAGAAAGATAATAGATAGATGACAGACAAAATAAAATTAGAAGAACATTGTATGTAAGAAACATGAAGCATATATCCTTGAGTGAATGAAAACAGGAGGATCCAGTGCTGTAATAATGATTTAGAGATATCTATTATATTATAATGTCACAGAAAATCTGTAACTTCCCTTAGCTCAAGGGTCATGCATATTGATGATGTCATTATTATGTGATAATATGCAAAATAGAAATGGTAAATTCAAGGGGCAGAATAGTTTAAAAAAACCTGATGCAATTTTTCATTTCTTATCTGAGCATTTAAATTCTAATCATATACCTCATAAAACCTTTAGTTAAGAAAATGAACAAAGAAGTTTGACCTGGAAAAGGAGGAAAATATACTTATAAAGTATAGAAATTAAAAGACATTTATAGCTAGGGAAAACAAGATGATTTTCCTATGTGAATATTAACTTAATCAAATAATGTTGAGAAGAAAATTAATTCATTTAATGAAAATTTCAAAAGAATTCCATTTTTAGTGCATAGTTCACATTTGGTTGATATCAGATGTATTTGAGCTGTTCTTTCATTTAAAAATATCTTTATGTAGTTGGATAAAGGAGGTGCCATTTAATAAAGCAGGCTATGAATATAATTTATCTTGATCAATGTCACCCCTTTCAAGATTCTCATCCATCCTTCCCCTTCCCACCTCTTCACTCATTCTTTTTTATATTGTAGGATACACACACATGCACATACAGATAGATAGATAGATAGATAGATAGATAGATAGATAGATAGATAGATAGATAGATAGGTTGGTAGACAGACAGACATATAAATAAATAGGTAGATAAGATTTTTTTTAATTGTGAAAATACCATACAGAGGAGTTACTATGACATGGGCAAGGTAATGAGTCCATTTCTTAACAAGCATTGTTGCCTCCTCCTTTGTTTCCCCTTCCCATTCCTTCCCATCTCCACCCCAACCCCAGCGCCCCTCCCTTCCCCACCAAAGTTGTGAAGTTTGTTTTTCAACATTACATTGTTGCAATGGGTCCAACTGTATCCTTATTTAAACTATTTATTTTTTCCCTTCCCCTCCTAAAAGTATACCAACATCAAATACAGTGAAAACAGGGGTTATATCATGGGGGAGAGACATACAAAGCAACAAAGAAATCATCTTATAAATATGTTAGAAGCAATGACAAGAAAAAAAATTGAATCCTTATCTTGGGGTTCATTTTGCTTAACATCAACTTATCTGACCATTTCTGCTTGTTTCAGACATATACCAGTAGATGAATGGATCAAGAAAATGTGGCATATATACACAATGGAATTCTATGCCTCCATCAGAAACAATGACATTTCCCCATTTGTTAGGAAATGGAAAGACTTGGAAAAGATTATATGAAATGAAGTAAGCCAGGCCCAAAGAAACAGGTCCCATGGTTTCCCTTACTGCAATAACTAGTAGATAGGATTTTTAACTTCATTCTCAATCTCTTTTCCTTTTATTTGTATTCACCTTTTCCCTTGACCCCATCTCGACCTTCTTTTGAATACCTGCTTCCTGGTGTTTTATTTTATTGAACCCTGACTTTATTTTTCCAAGGAATTATACTATTTTTGTTCTCCTTTGAATCTACCATATTTCAGTTAGTATATTTGTATGCACTTGCATACTAACTCAACATATAATTTTATATCTGTTATTTAATGGAAAAGACCACATAATCAGCTATTCTTAAGCACAAATATTTTGGGAGTTCCATAATAAACCAGAATATAACAGCACCAAAGCTGTTAATGTGAGCATTAAAAGTAGTTGCTATTAATTAAATAAAAAAGAATTCTACAATTTTAAAGACCTTGAAATAAGTGTACATGTCAATATAAAAGCAATACTGAAAGGGTCTGGTCAAAGATCTTGACTGATTGTACTCTCTATGTACATGTTTTTATCTTTTATAAACTCATTATAAAAGCTAATAACATGAATTGCACTTTTTGAACCAATGAATTCTTATTTTGAAAGACATAAAATTATTTTTTACAAAAATATATCTGTCTTAAAATTAAGGAAATATGTATTTACTTCATCTCAGGAAATGCTTGGATATGTCATGGAGAAATTTGCTCAATTTAATGCATATTTTTCTTACAAAGAAACTTAGACATCTTTAGAAAAATTCCAATGAAATAGAATATTTATATTTGGAAGTCATAAATGCTTTTGTTCCTCAAAATGCATTTTATAAATTCAGTATGCATTTTTTCCCAAAACTATCATTGTGAAATGATGATAATTTAAAATCTAGACCTGGAGCTAGAAATAATATAATATGCTGATGTATTTGGTATAATTACATAAATATAACAAGGAAATATTTGCTAACATTATAGCTAAGTTTTTAATAAGGAAAACAAGTACTAAGTAGGGAGAAAAAACAAATATATCAGCCCCAAACTTAGAATGCAATATTTGAATCAAGGACGTTTCCATTAAAACGATAATACCTGAATAATTCTAGAAGGTGAGAATAAGGTTAAAAAAAATGGCTTTACATTTGCATGTCATGGCTCATATAATTATAGTTCTGATTTTCAGGCAGGCTTTCAAAATCAGGCCAATTGATGGCTGCTGTTGGCTCATGCCTTTAATCTTAGCAACGTGAGAAGCTGAGATCTTGAGGATCAGTGCTCAAAGCCATCCCAGGTAGAAAAGTGTGCAGACTTCTTCTCCAAAATAACCAGCAAACAGCAGAGCTAGAGCCACAGCTCCATTTGTAGAGCACCAGCAACTCCACCAAGTCAAGCAGGCAGAAGGCTCTGGGTTCAAAATCTGATAATAGTGAATCATCATCATCATCATCATCATCCTCAATATCATCCAGTGAAATAATTTAGTTACATATACTTAAGATACATGGGGAAATCATTAGTTTATACATATTCACTGTGTGTACAAACACATCCATGCACGTACAATATATCAATATATCCTCTACGAGTAATGCTCTGCACATATTCCCTTTAATTATGAAAAAAATAATGAAAGGCTCCTCGATGTCCTTGATGTTGACACGTGTTTTGTTCAAAAGATTTGTATGTTAAAACAAAATCTCAGTTGAGAGCAGTGGTGCGCCAAGTTTTTGCCATCAGCTAAATGCGGGAAATGAACCCAGTGAACATCCTATCACGTGCAATGCATTATATGACTATATTTTACACCATTTACGATAAGAGCACTGACCTGTCCGCTTTTGTAGCGCATGCCCGGCGCCCAGGCGTGGACCGAGCTGTGGATCTGTGCAGTGTGTGTGCGATCGCTCCTCCGCCCATCCAACCCATCGCATGAGCTGCACAAGTGCGGGTGCGCTTTGTCGCCACTCACCAACTTCTCCTCTGTGGCCCTTAGTTTTAGTGGTGCTGTTCGCCGCGCTCAAGAGGCAGCGGAAGAAGGAGCCTCTGATCCTGTCTAAGGATGACGTCCGGGACAACATCGTGACCTACAATGACGAGGGCGGCGGCGAGGAGGACACGCAGGCCTTCGACATCGGCACCCTGCGCAACCCCGAGGCCCGGGAGGACAGCAAGCTGCGGCGGGACGTCCTGCCCGACACGGTCTTCCAGGTACGGAGGACTGTCCCGCTGTGGGACCACATCGACGTGCAAGACTTCATCCACCGCAGACTGAAGGAGAACGACGCGGACCCCAGCGCACCGCCCTATGACTCCCTGGCCACCTACGCCTATGAGGGCGAAGCCTCCGTGGCCGACTCGCTCAGCTCGCTGGAGTCGCTCACCGCCGATGGCAACCAGGACTACGACTATCTCAGCGACTGGGGGCCTCGCTTTAAGAAGCTGGCGGACATGTATGGCGGCGATGACAGCGACCGCGACTGACCCGGGGACGCCCCCCAACACACACACCCAGGACTTGATCCTAGCCGGGCCAGCACCCTCTGTGCGGATGGAACAGGGACCGGCTTGCAAAAGCTCGAACTTCACAAAACACGACTGTAGGTGTTGTCTTAGTAAGGGTTTGCTTCATCAGTCAGTTTTTGTGAATGAATACGAATGATCTAGATTTAAAAAAAAAAACAAAAAAGAAGAAAAAAATCCAGTAATAATAACCAGTTCACCCTCTTTGCCTAATAATCTTGGAAGGACATTATTATGATCGTATCAATAATCAATAAAAAGTACTTAAAAGGCTTTTTGTGCCTTTTTTGCTTAGGTAGAAGACCTTTATAAATGTTTTCTTAACTGACTTCGAGTCACCTTTACTATTAAATTAAACATTGTGCAGCGACTTTGTAAATTATTATGGAAAAGATATATCCTTAATGAAATAAGAATGACTATTACTGCCATATTTATTTAGTTGAAGAATGTCTTTGTGTTAATTCACTCATATTTTTATAAATGTATATTTATATTTTTGTATTTTTATGAAATAAACCAGTATTTATAAAAATGAATTTCATTTTATTTAATTTTGAGAGTTGGTTCTAGCAAACAGTAGACATGTTCTACAGGATTTAAGTGTAAAGCAGTGAAATCACTCAGGGAAAAGAGCTGAGCAGTCAGTGGGTGAACAGGAATCTGTTTCACAGAGATGGAACACTAAAAGAGCTTATTTACTGATTGTTCTTTTTATGTTCAATTGATTAAATATGGACACATTTTATGAAAACACTGGTGTCTATGTCTATATTTGGTATAAAAATAGTATCTTGGGCTGGGAAGGTAGCTCAGTGGTAGAGTGCTTGCCTTGCATGCTCAAGGCCCTGGGTTCGATTCCTCAGCACCACATAAGCAAAAAAGAAAAAACTGGAAGTGGTACTGTGGCTCAGGTGGTAGAGCGCTAGCCTTGAGCTGAAGAGCTGAGGGACAGCGCCCAGGCCCAGAGTTCAGGCCCCACGACGGGACCAAAAAAAAAAATAGTATCTATATATAGTTATGGATGATAAACTAATCTTTTGCAAGTCTATTTCAACCAATGCATTGTATTTGAAAGGAAATACAGTGTTCCAATGATGCCATGAAGAAAAAATAATCTAAATCATTTTCTGTCATTAATAATATGGTTTTCAAAATGAAAAGTATATATATAATACATATATATATATATATATATATATACATTTTGTGCCTGTGTTCAGACAACTTATGGGGTATGAGCTCAGGTCTGGATAGCATTTTTATAGTGATTAGTTAGAGATTTGTTTATAATGATTGCTGTTTTGAGAAAATCAGACCTAAAAGAACATATGGTTCCTAATTATTCCTAGAGAGCAGAATTACACAGTCACTCTGACCTACAGGAGCTGAAAATGATGGCAAACTCTCTGTACTTTTGCAGAGAACTCTCTGAAAATCTTTGAAACATTCACTGCACAAACCTTGATTGCCCTAAGCCAAAAGACAGAAATTTCTTGGGCAATTTGCATGTTATGCATGTTTTGTGCCAAGAATTATCCATGTGTTCTTTAATTATTCATCTTTTGAGAAGCAAATGTCTTGGGCAAAGAAGATTTTATTTGGGCAAAATTTAACATGGACAATTTCTCTGTTAATAGTTTCTATGCAGTAAAAATAATTCCTATATTATAAATAGGTATCCATGTGTTATACTAGGATCTTAAAATAATTAAAAACTCAGTAATTATGAATACCTAACATAAATATTTAAATTAATACTGGGATAGAAATCATAAAGGATACTTAAGCACTATTTGAAAGTTTTCCACTGATTAGAAATACACAGAAATGAAATTTCATTTAAGTTTATTTAGAAACTTCTTTTAGTTTCAAGAATAATGTGTCCCTACTATTGGATTCTTTACCATGAATTGCATACACACACTGGAGGAGCATACAGTAATTTGAGGAATAAGAACAATAAATAATGCATCTAGTAAGACTTTGATTATGATCCATATTTTAAGATCTAACTATGATCAATTCATAGATACAAAAGAGCTCAGTGGCAGTAAGTGAAAAACAATTCCAGGGCTGGGATGTAGCTCAGTGGCAAAGCGCTTGCCTAGCAAGTGCAACGTCCTGGGTTCGGTCCCCAGTACCAAAAAAGACCAAAAAAAAAAAAAGTTTAGAAAAACAATTCCAAAGGGCGTGGTCCTGATTATGTATAATGGCTCTTTAAAAATAAGAAATGATGCAGAGGCTGATGAGAGAGTTGTAGTTGTGTAGATTTCCAGAGATTCCATTGTTTTAAAAGCAGCACAAATGATCAGGATTATTCTAAAATACACCCATAAATTGTATCTGAAGGAGGCATAATGACACCAGATAGAACAAGACACATCAGAACTGTGAGCTGGAATTAGAACTCCTCAGGAGACTGAGATATGAAGATTACAGTTTTCATCCAGCCAAGGCAGGAAAATCCATAAGACTCATTTTCAATTAACTACTAAAAAGATATAAACTAAAAAGACAGAAGTGGAGCTGTGGCTCAAGTGGTAGAGTAAAAAATATTCAGGGATAGTACCCAAACCCTGAGTTCAAGTCACCATTGTTAGCATGCATGTGTGTGAGAACACACACACACAAACACAAACCATAAAGGTATATATAACATTGTAAATTCAGGGAATGGATGTGTGGTTCAGTTGGTAGAGTGCTAGTCAATAAGCAAAAAAAGCATCAGATACCACATTCAAATTCCAGCCTGGGACCTAAAATAGTGTTTATGTTTGTGGTGTGTGTGTGTGTGTGTATCTCATACATGCATATTAACTCCAGTATATTTTATACTAAAATAACTGCTGTAAATTGCTCTTTTCTATTAGATTCCATTGAATACTCTGAGTGTCTATAAGTATGAAGGGTATATTTGAACTTCTTAACTATTTAATAACTCTTATATTACTGTTTCATTTATTTATATTACCTCCTAGCTCTTGATAGGTATTTGGGCATCTAAGTTACTAACTCCTCTTATATAATATTAAGCAGAATATATTAACTGCTAATACCTAAATATTTTACTTTATTTTTTATTATAAAATCAACGTTATCTTCATACCACCAAATGATAATCACCTACTTATAAAATTAAAAGAACACATTTTTGAGAAATTATGTTATTTTCTGCATTGGGCCTTGAGTCTGTTCGGTTGGTCATTTATCTATAAGGTCTATTTCTAGCACATTTTTCTGCTTGTTATTTTGAGGATACAATCTTTTGGACAATCCTGCAGAACTCAAGCTTTTAAGCTACTAGGATTACAGGCATGAACAACTGGTAACCTACTTCAAACAATTATATCTTGAACTGAAAATAGTTTCTTTTTCTTTGTCTTTATTCACAAAATGCTAATTTTCAATTTCCAATATCACAGATAACAGCTGAATAAGGTAATTACGGATAGAGTCATATAATAAATGAACATATTCATTATTTTTCAAGCTATTGAGGATTAAAATTGTGCAGTTAGATGAGAAATAAAAACTCCAAAACGCAGAATCAATTTCTATTTTAAAGGTGTATAATTCCATTCAATAGCTAAGAACTACAAGAAGCAACTAATATATATTTATATATTATATAAAGAGAAGTGATTCGGGCTTAGAAGAGATGAAATGATTAGAAACTGATGAAGATTTGCGCTTCACATAGGTTTCACAATTATGTTTAAACATTGAAAACTATTTGATCAGGAAATACTAATTTTGAAGATAGTCCAAAAGATAAGTTTGCATAAAATATAGTACGATACTTAAAGGTAATTGAATTTCTGAGACTTCAACTCAGGGGCTGAGTGCTGCCCCAAAGCTTTTGTGCTCAAAGCTAGCATCTACTACATTGAGTCACAGCTTCACATCCTCTTTTTACGAGGTTAATTTGAGGTTAGAGATGCCTGGCCTTTACTTCCCTGGCTAGCTTTGAACCAGGGTCCTCAGATCTGGGCCTCCTGAGTAGCTAGAACTTCAGGCATAAGTTATCAACTGCCTGGTTGAAGTATCTACTTTAATAATAAAGTTTAATGGTAAAGTAGAGCAAGGAGACTGAATCTTCCTATTTTGTTCTTGCAAAAGGACTTTGCAAGTGGAAACAATCTATTATTCAATTCACAAGCATATCCCTTTTGATTGTACTTTATTTTTCTGAAGGGGCTTTTTAATTGTTCCTGGATAAGCCTCACTCTCCTGATCCTCCTGTCTCTGCCTTCTGAGTAGGTGTAATTGCACAGGTGTGTCACCACATGTGGCTAAACACATCTTTATACACAACTGCTAATTGCATTAAGCCACTCAAGATCCCTGGAACTCTACTTCTGGTCATGTTGGTAAGATAACCTGGATATTGCCTCCTTTGTGAGACATGAAAATTCAAACCACACAAGTCCTAATCAAAGCAGTATGTGCTCACTGAGCATGTGATCAACCATAATAAAAGCGAAGTTAGAGCCTTTCCTTTATTCCCTCAAACCATTTTGGTCCTACTTGAGAGGCCTGTACTGTTTCCAGAGCTATTGTTTATGTTGAATAGTAAAACAATTTTATAATCCCTAGTTGTGTTTGTGATGTTTTCAGGCTGAAAATGTAAATCACACTGAAGAGAGAAGAAAATCTGCCTCTGCAAGTGACTGAAGTGCTCAAATTATAACCAAGGATTTTGTTTGAACATATTTACTTATTTATGTGTTTGTATATTTACATAGTGGTGTTTGGATCAAACCAAGGTCATGGCATAAGTAAACTATTGGCAAGTGTTCTGCCACTGGATAATATGTCTTATGCCTAGGTTTGAATATTCTACAATAACAACTTGATATGATTTAATATTTGTGTAATTTTATAAATATATTTTATTCACTTATCTTCAAACTAGAGATAGTATCTCCTACTTTATTCCTGAAGTTGGTCAAAATTCA